TTATACTAAAATTCCCTTTTAATTCGAGAATTTTCGAAGAAATTTTGTATTTCATGATTAAACACAATTTACAGAAATTTCGCATTCTCATTTTAGTCATAAATTCCTTCAATCGCCTTGATAAAGTTAGTTAGTTGGTGACGAACGTGTAATAAAATCAGCCACGTCGTTCCGGCAATAAAGTTGTCGATAAAACCTCGTTAATCGCCATCTAAATACGCTCCTGCGGCAAACAAAAATAAATATTTTGGGATGCGAGTCGTTCTTCCTACATCAGACCTAAATGCCTGCTATGATTAATCGCGTTCGGAATTTTAGCCGAATTTAGCCGCGGATATGAATCGCCTTACAGATATTTTTTTATCTCCACTTGAAAGTTTTTCATTGAAATCGTGCTATTCCCGGACATGGTAATCCCCATATTACCAGCGGAAATATTAGTATTAATTAATTAATCAGTATTAAGTATTAGTATTAATATCCTACAAATTCTTTAAGAAAAAATGACGACAGCGCTGGGGCTTCAAAATCTACGGTTCAAGAATTTCTAAAAAATCACAAGTTTAAACCTTATAAATTTAAGTTAGACACCGAAGACTAGAATATTGCAATAAGATGGTCACCCAGGTCTCCCGACTTTTTAGCAATTGATAACTTCTTTTGGGGCTACCTGCAACAGAAGTTTCTTATATATTTACATTTACGTTTATGCTATTTTTTTTCTATAAAATACAATTTTTTACTCAATGCATAGTTAAACAAATTTTACGAGATGAAAATTGATAACACGGATAAAGATATTTCGAGAATAAGGTTTTTAAGTTAAAATAATAATTAGGTACTAGATAGTAATCAATAATAATGAATTAAAACTAACTAATTCTTAAATATAGTGGTTAAATATAACTATTAAACAAAATATTAAATAATAAAAATAATAATAATAATTTAGTTGTATTTCATGGCCTACCGTAAGAATTCATATTAAAATATTATAATATTGAATACAGTACTTAATTAAAACAAACGATAAAGTGTTATATATAGCGGGTGACACAAGAAAATGGGAACACTCTATAACTTTTAAACGGCTTGAGATAGCGATTTGAAATTTGGAAGGATTAATATAGGCTGAATGTCCAATTTTTTGACAATATGTAGTCAATGGTTGCACTTCCGGTTTGAGCGGAAACAACAGTAACCTTCGAATTTTAAATGGCACACCCTATATTTATTGCATTTTTGGATTCCGGAGATGATTCTACGTAGGATAGGACGGTTTTTCTTTTTTATTTTAACTTTATTTATTTTTTCAAAAATGGGGCAACTGATCATGAGAAACTATTATTTATCAAGGATAACCTAGTTTTTTTAAATAGTTCCTTAGTTGGAACAAAAACCTTTTAAATCCTTCAAAAAATAAGCTCACAGATAAGTAAATACATTTCTATAACAAATGTTTGTACGGATACACTTACTTTAGTTTTTGACGTATTCCAAAAGCGTATGAACTTTTTACCATAATAAAACACTTTGAACAAAAAATTCTAATCGTTGAATCTCCGAATAAACTCTGCCTTAAATTTATTTATTTTTAATATACTACTCCGTTTTTTCTTTCCACTGCATGAGCTTGTAGGCAGGCTCCCGCCACCAGCCACCTAAGCAATATATTTTTTTATAAAAATGTATTTACTTATCCGGTTTTTCCTTCCTGTAAGCTTATTTTTATGTATTTGCAATTTTTCTCATGATCAGGTGACCCCAACTTTCAAAAATTAAATAAAAATAAAAAAAAACCGTCCTATCTTAAGTAGAATCATCTCCCTAATCCAAAAATGCAAAAAAATATAGGGTTTGCCGTTTAAAATTCGAAAGTTACTGTTGTTTCCGGTCAAACCGGAAGTGCAACCATTGACTACATATTGTTAAAAAATTAGAAATTCAGCCCACATCAATTACGTAAAATTATATATTGAGTCCCATTTAAACATAGACAACTTTTGATCATAATTAAAAAAATAAAAAAATCTGAAACAACTCCATTGGATTCTACGTAAAAAAAATTCTACAGAAGTATTTTTTTTCCCATAACTTAAATATTAACGGAAATACGAGAAGTGCCGCAAATCGCTAAGTTTTCAAAATCACTCTGTAGCTCAGAAACGCAATGGGATGAGAAAATTCCGTTGATCGCATCTTTCGTTTCACAAAAAAGTAGCACATTGACTGCAACCCGCAATGATAATGAATTTCGGACACACTGTGCAGTAGAATTCGAAAAGATACAATTATATACGAATTATAATCGATTTAATAACAATAAAGAGTAGCTATCACAAATATTTTCTAATCTAATATACTACAAATTGCTTCTAATATGCAGCTTTGATTTTGAATTATTTTAAGCCAAAACCAAATCTCATGAAAGATATTATATTAGAGACATTAGGTCTGGATTCCATTCTGAATACCACTGTTAATATTTTAATACAATTTTAGCAAGTTATTTCTTGGCTTAACTTGTTAGGTTTTTTGATCATTTCGGTTGAAATGTCCTTGGTTTGCGAGAAATTCGAAACGTTAGTGTTGCTCCTATAACCAAAAATATTCTAAGAGTAAGTTGTGAAAGCATGCATAAATTTTATTTTACACAAAATGTAGAATTTTCAGGCTGGCAATTTACTAAGCCCAGGATGCTTATTATTCGAAAGATAGTTTCCTTATGGCTTTGTTAATATTTATAATTCTCTTACAGAAGATTTTAGCCAGAAAAAGAAACTCATAACATTTCAGGGTTATGTAGAGCAATGACGAAACCTGTATATGTATGTATCTATTGTATATGTATGTCTTAATATTATTATGGTTATTATTATTGTCTTTTCTCTTTTTCTCATTTTTAAAGGATTTGATGTACCTTTGCATGAGTGGTTTGTATGGAACAATGTGGTGTCTTGTCTCTCTGACCTCTGGAGTTGTAGTTTGAGAGAGTCGATATTTAATGATTCTGCGTGGGTCATAGGGGATTTCAATGTTGCTTACATAATTATATTCGCTTGATCAATTCTTCACATTGATTACCAGGTTGTTTGGATTAAACTAATTTCCTTTTTTCTTTTATCATAACGAAGAAAATCAGGTCAGTCTCAACGTGGGCTAAGCTCCTTTCCGTGGTATCAGGTTCCTGGGTGTGGAGGTATTTTTTTGCATTAGCAAGTTTTCTGTGATCGCACCTATAGATCTAATGGCACTCCCACGACAGTGCTGGATTGTCGTGCTTCTCGTCGTACTTGGCGATCTGTTGAGCGTGCTTTGTGATCAGGTTGTTATTGTTGGCTATGGCAGGTTCAATGAACGTCGTCCTTTTTATCCTTCCTATCCACTTAAAGTCCCTCAGAGGTTGGGGAAAGAAAGAGAACCACTAACATGAATAAAAAGGAGAAAAGTCAGTTACTTTGGACATATAATGCTGAACCAAACATATCGGCTCCTGCAACTGATAGTAAAGGTAAAAAATAGGGCGGAAACAGATGTCCTTGCTGAGAAACATATGGGACAGGAGTACGGACGATATGGAAATGGGTGCATACCGCAGCGGAGACAGTGGAATATTCGCATGTGATCGCCAAGACCCAGTAATCGACAGGCACTCTAAGAAAAATTAGAAGAAGAAGAATCCACTAAAACCAGATCAGGTCTATTGTGTGTTTGATCAGTTGCTTTTCGGAGGTTTGATATCTGTTTGTCTGCTGTCAATCCTCTTTCACCATCAGATCGCGGAAGGGTAGCCCCTTTCGGGATAGTGCTCCTTAAAATTTGTTAGCAGTATCATTTGAAAACTGTTTGCTTCTTTATATATATTCGAGGACCCTTTATCAAAAAAAAAACACACCTGTTTTTGCTCTACCACGTCATTTTTTTTTATAGCGTCCAATATCTAAAAACTGTTATTTTATTAATATACATACTGTTGAGTCCAAAATTATGTAAATTTCTTTTTAATTTTGTGTATCTTAAACATGCCGGACTTTTCAGTCAATGTGACAACAGGGCGTTGTACGCCAAACCGGCAAGGTCTACGTTTCTGCTAGTCTAGTAACAATGTTGTAGCGTTGCGGGGTAGACGTGCACGGCATGGGTCGCGACGTCGCCGCAATGTGAGATACAGTCCATTTATAGAAAAGAAAAATTCAATAAATATTAAGTGATTGAGGAAACGCTTGTATTGTTGAAGAAGCACATACCTATGATATGAATATGTTTGTTCTATGTTAAATGTGATTTGGCAACACTGGATGAATATGGAAAGAAGACTTTACGTGAACAATTCAAATAACTTTTGTTATATCTGTGGTAGTTATGTCGTAGTAAAGCAAATAATTTCTTTTGGGAAAAATGTATACGACGCTTATTTTGGCTTTGGTGTTCCTATGGTATGGCAAGAGCCTATAAATCAAAGTGATCATTGTTATCTTTCTTCGTGTAATGTTCAAGGGCTCTACAGAAAAAATAGGAAACAAATTGTGTATCCCAATCTTGACTCTGCTATTCGACCAGAGGAATCTAATTCCGACCCAGACGACTCAGATTTCACACCAGATTTTAGATACTGTGTTGCACCTTCCAAAGAATACATCCAAGTTATTAGCGTCCAGCGACCAGAGTTATGTCAATATTGCAACAATTTTCTTGACTTAGTCTTAGAATAAACTTTCAAGAACATGGCTGCTTTGTGGTGACCTTAAAGTGCTGTGCAGGGCAACAGGACAACAGGGGGGATATATAAAATGCTTTATTTGTGAGTGGGATAGTCGGGCAAAAGATAGACATTGGACTCAAATAGAATTACCCTGCAGAACAAGCCTTACGCCTGGTAGCAAAAACGTTTTACTGCCACTTCTTCATATCAAACTTATATAAAATCAGTTTTCAAAATAAAAGGTTTAATTTTGTAGACCCGAGTTATATGTTACTGAAGCGCATTTTTTGCCTTTTAGTTCACCTACGGTCTAACGGTACCGCTGGTACTGCCGCGCCGTTCCATCAACTTCAGCTTTTGCTTCCAATCGCAATACAATATGCCCTTCAACGTGAGCAACTTCTACCCACAAACCATAGCCGTGAGGGCCCACGAGAACAAGTTCGACCTCACCAGGGTGAAATTTTACGAGTACCTCGCCTCGTTCCTCGAGAGTTTCGGGCTGCGTGGCGAGGAATGCACTCTGAGGACGGTCTGCGAAGTAGCCGAGATTCCCATGTACGAAACGGACGAAACGTTGCTCGAGAAAATAGCGTCGTTCGTTTTCACGTTAGTAAAAAAAGGATGTTTTTTTTTGTAACGCCCTCTAACGGAGGTTTTCAGGCCTTCGGTGGGCTTAAAAGCCGATATCGGGAACAAGACCCTCGAGGACGATGGTCTCGACTTCACGGAGAGGTTGCTGCTGGCAGAAAAGTACGGACGAGATGGGAAAAACTGCGAAAAGAAATTTTCCGACTGCATTGTTTCAATTTTGGATCTTTTCACTGAATTGTACGTTGTTAGATAATAAAAAATTGATACCAAAATGGAGTTTCCTGTATTTTACTCACTATTCTAGGACACAATTAATTACTATTCCAAATTTCTGCAAAGACCATTTATTTTTCGGTAACCCACAAAAATAGTCGCAACGTGGTAAGAAGCGGCTGAGCTAGATAGCCTTTGTAATTGTGTCACATTATTCGATACAATAGAGAAAAGAAAATGAAAAGTTTAAGGAAATTTCGCGTTTTTTCAATAATCCTCTTCAATTTTATATGGAGGAGGTTCTCTTTTTGGAAAATTCATTTAGTAATGAATTTTGATTTGTTCAAGTACTTGCACTCTGTTTATCTTACAGGTAAGTGCCTGTCGATTAACAACATTCTTCTTCTTGTATTTTTGTGTCTTCTGCATAGTTCTTTTTATATATTTAACCCAAATGAGATGATTTGGTCTGAGTTGAAAGCGTATATAAGAATAAACAACTCTGCAATAAAATTTAGTGATAGTACCATAAATGTAATTCAGCAAGAGGAAGCTAAAATATCAGTACAAACCTGGTTTATCTGTGAAAACAAGTAATAAAAGAAGAAAATATTTATCGAGAACTACTAGTGGGGGAGTTGATCATTGAACTAGGTGACGAGAGTAGCGATAGTGACGATTTTTTAAGTGACTGATACTTTATAATTATTATATTGAATATTTTTTATATTAATGATAATACTATGTAGAAATGTCTATTTTATTACATAACGTAATAAGTTGTTACTTTGTAATAATTTTTTATATTCATATTTCAAGAATTGTTTGTCGAAAAACATACTTATATCCCGCTTCTAAGTGTAGGTAGATAATATTCCTAGGACGGTCCTGGAATGGTTACTGGTAAGGGTCTGCTCGGCAGGGTGTTCTATAAGGGGCTGCGATTTTGAAGCAATAAACGCTAGGCAAAGCTAATCACGCGGCGGTTGTAAAAGCACTATATTTCTGGTCTAAGTATACCTACTAGCAACGTTGGTCCACAGCTGAAATGTATTGTTTAGTTTTCATACCAAAGGCTTTCGACAATAAGATCCGCAGAACACGGTAGAGTCCAATTTATGGTCGTATTATAGCTATTTCAATAGGAAAGTCATTTTATATGCCCTATAATAAAAACAACCCGCTGTATAATTCAAGTACGCAAAGTATGCGGAGGCATGATATATCATATCATATTTTCTTAAGCCAGTTCTACACTCACTTTCAATATCTAAACAAAAACCATATACAAAATTACAATAATTAAAATTAGATAACACAAGGGACTCGTAAAATTTGTCTATTGCTGTATAATATTATATATATATATATATATATATATATATATATATATATATATATATATATATATATATATATATATATATATATATATATATATATATATATATATATATATATATATATATATATATATATATATATATATATATATATATATATATAGTGTTCGAAGTGTTTTCGGAGCGCGAGCATTGAAGATGCCAAGTGAGATTTTGGCGAAACGTCTGCAGGATTCCAGTCGGATGCAGGATTTGCAGGATTCCAGTCGGAGTTCAACGAGCGAACGGATGATATCCCGGAATATAGTGTCATCATATATATATATATATATATATATATATATATATATATATATATATATATATATATATATATATATATATATATATATATATATATATATATATATATATATATATATATATATATATATATATATATATATATATATATATATATATATATGGTTTTTGGAGTATTCCAAAAGATCGTCATCATCAAAACAATCATAACTTTGTGTATCGCAGACAAACGCTTGAATTTTATATAAAGTTACTGACTTTAGAATGTTGAGATTATAACAAGAAGTTGATAATTGTGTCCCAGACTCCTTTTTAATATTGTTAGCAATAAAAAATCCATACATTTGGTTAGTTTATAATGTTATTACATATATTTTGAAATTGTTGAAATTGTTTGAATGGTTTCCCTATTGATATCTTCCACTCATCCGGAAAGTAGCTTATTTCGATAAAGCAGTTGATTATATGCGTAATATATTTATCAATATATGGACTAAAGTAGGTTAGGTGATACGTCATCCAGACCATTTGCATTTGTTTTAATGCCTTTAAGCACTTTATTCGTTGTTGTTGTTGAAAGCTTAATAGAAAATTGCAAATTATTATTGTAAAGATTATTATCATAAATAGTATTATTTAAGTTATTAGAATCAGAAAGTCTTTTGGATAGAGTCTGTTTTTTTTTTACAATTTACAATGTTAGAACTCCTTATTGTCCACAATTTTTTTTTTAAATTATTCCCCACAAACCATATCATATCTTCTTGTCTTGGACAGTGTAAAGTTTCTTAAATATATATAAAACATTCAATCTTCAGTATTTTCTGTTCTCTTAAATTTGTTCAACACAGTGTGTCTTTGTTTCATAAGCTAAACAAATCTAACATAAGGTTATTAAATGTGCTAATTTTATCGCTAAAATAATTATCATGCATTATTATAATTAAAAAAGCCACTTCAAAACAATCACAAAATGTAGCAAATTGTTTAATTTGCTCATTGTTTACTTTTCGTCATGCTGTTGTCATTATATCAGTAGGTACATTGCTTTAATTGCTCTACCAACCCTATTTATTACATATTGGAATAATCTATTAAATTGTTCTGTTACACTAGACTTATGGTTGTTAAGCGCTAAGGTAAGTACAAACAGTAAAATTTTTAGAGGGGACAAAATGATGATGCATAAATTATATACGTTATTTTTCGAGTAAAAGAGTTAAGCGATTTTTTCTAGCTGACATTCAAAGTCATCCAATCATCTGCAGCCAAACCTTAATATTTTACTTGAGAATTTTTAGTAATGAGTTCTTTATATAGTTTCAGTGCAACAGGACCTACAGTTTTGTTTTTTTTTTTTGCCTAAAGGCCATAGAGCTGGTTTTCTCCACATTAATATTTAGTTTAATTAAAAGCAACCAACTACAAAATCTAGACAAGTCGGTATTTATTTGTTCCAACTGGTAAACATTAGATCATGAATACAAAAGATCAAAGAATCACCTGCAACTACAAAGCACCATGTCTCCAATTCGGCATAATTTGAAGCGAAATTGCCTTATACTTAAGAAATAGCTGATGAGAGGCAGAATTGGTCCTCTGATTCCCATTTCCCAAGTTTGCAATTAACAATTTCCTTGCTGTAGGTTCTGTGTATTCAACACACTTCAAATTACAATTTGCAATTGCAATTTACAGAACTTCTTATTTTTGCATTCGATAACATAAACATTAGCTTCACTTCATATTTATTCTACAATTGGCTTTAAGGGAAAGCTTTAACACGCCATAGTGGCCTAGGTTGAGGAAAAACACACCTTCCAGATTCGATTTCAAGACTAAAACAGTCTAGCCGCAAATAGAAGATAGTAAGCATTCCAATGAATTGAGAAGCAATAAGCGCACAAACCGATCTCAGTTGTTGAACTGAAAGAGTGCCACTAAATACATGGTGAAGGCTTTGGCAATCTGAAAAACCAAAACGTATAGCATCAAAGTATGAGATAAAACTCACTTACCGATAGAAACAATTTTCGGTTCACTTCAAACAGTCCGCAAGCTGAAAATGTTATTTCGTACGTGGGTATTTGTTTGCTAAAGTCCAAAAACTGAAAACTAGCCAAATATACTATCGACATCTAATGATATCCCCAAGTCTTTACCGCCTCTCTAGTAGAATCGTCGACATCCAAAGTTAGCAAGTCTAGTATGATAGTTTTAGTCCTCTGAGCCTAGAATGACAACTATGTTTCACTTGTTTAATCAACAAACCGATATTACTTCTCTGCTACAACGATAACATGACTCAACTACTATCAGCAACCTACCAACATGGACGAGAAACTCAAAGATACTGCGGCTGAATATCAAAAGTGTATCTTGCTCTAGTGGTCTTGTAGGAATCAGCAGTAGAGATACAACACTGGTCACCACGATTAGCTAAAAATATCACCGTCACGAGCTGATCGGGATCCTGTTTTGCAACACTTACCAGCATATCCACCGAAAATCTATTATTGTAAGTGAGAGCCAATTTCTGAATCAGCCGGTAATAACTCAACAGATTCAAAATGTTATCAACGGCAGATTTATCGCTTCTATTCGGCACAACCCAAACCATTTCCGAAATAGATTTCAACCTTTCCGTTTCGACCAGCAGACTCGCGTTAAGCGCCATCAGCCTGATTCGTATAAGAAACACCAGATGCATCAGCAAATAGCCGTGGCACAAAAAGATTAAATTTAATACGTCGAAGGCGATAGACTTAAACACGGAGCGAGGGTCAATTGTGCTTATTACCGCCATGTTGAAGAAAATGATGGGAAACGTGGTCAAAAATCCTGCCATAATAATTTTGAGGCAATATCTGCGGTGCTGTCGGTAATTGGTTAGGGGAACTGCTTGATCGATCTACAACCAGAAGTAAAATCTTAGGAATACACAGTTTTTTATATTGATATTAAAGTGTATATTAATGTTTTTGTAGTTACATACCTAAAATTGTAATAATATTATTGTAAATTTAATTTATTCTTTTGTCAATTTTGTTCAATAAGTTTGTGAAACTCGGGATTTCTATCCAATAATTTGAACAAAGTTGAGGCTGAAGTTGAGGTTGGCGTCTTTGGCGACTCTTGTTCAAATACATTTCCGATATTGATTTTGTAATAAAACATGATCATGTCTCACTTTTCTTCAATACTAAACTGCATCTTCAAAGGTGACTAGTGAGTTTAATCAAGGGACGAATCTAGATAAAGATCGATAGCTATGAAAGGCTAGCGAATCCTGAATCTAGCTATTGAATTAGTATTCTCAATACCAAGTAACCAAATTTTTCAAATTGGTACATCTTTACGTATAATTAAATGGGCTCCAAAGGAATTAGCAAACTGT